AGATCTCTAGGATGAGACAGCATTTGCTTTAGATTTGGACCTGTGTTCCTGGGTAGGAATAAGGAATGTCCAGGCTCTGTGGGGAGTAGCCAACTGGGGAAGAATTTCCTCTAGCCCTCCCGCATTAGCACAGGATGGATGATCAGATCAGTTAGTTGGCATCCAGGCCCAGGTGAACTGATCAGGACCGCAGAAATCCATGGGGACCTCCAGTGAGACCCTAGCTGCAGAGGGCAGGCTGGGTAGTGGCCATTCAGAGGAGGACAAAGGGAGTTACAGAAGGCTAGTAGGAGGGTCAGGAGGCAGGGATTAGACAGGTAGAGTCCAAATCTTGACATTCTACCACACTCTAGTTATGAAGCCATGGGCAAGTTACACAATATCTCTATCTCAATTTCTTCATCTGAAGAATGGGAATGATAATAACGGCAGATCCCTCACATGCTTACATAAATTTAACATGCTGATCTGTGTCGAGTGTCTACTCTGATGCCTGGCACACAGTAGGCACTCAGGATGAGCTAGCTATTGTTATTCTTGTTATTACAATCCCAGGGTACCTGACTGGTACCACGATTCAGGGAGAAGTAGGGTTAGAAGAAACAAGACACACGTCTATTTCAGTCTGCTTTCCTAGTAAACCAAAAACCTGGCAGGGGTGAACTGGTTTGGGAAATAACACAGACTAGCTCCCTGCCACTCATCCATTTTAAGTTTTGTCTTCGACAATCATTACACCTGCTTTTCAGGGGAAGGCAAGGAGAGAGGGGAAAAGGAGACAAAGGCCAGTGGGTCACCAATCCTCTGAAACTCGGCTAATAGACTTCTTGTCAGCGGTTTCCTGGTTGTCAGTGATTCCTGACGTTTTCATTTGGTGATTCTGTTGGAATTTCTGAACTCTTGTCAGTTACCCTCCCCAGCCCCTTGCATACTATGGATCTACTCTCCAGCATGTCTAGAGGCAGACACATTCCTGCAGGGAAAATGCAATTGGAGTGGGAAGTCTTTTCTTGAACAGGTTAATGGCACAACAGAAGTATGACTGTGGGGTGCGAGCTGGTCAAAGGGAGATTAATAGGTAGTGACAGACACTCCTTTGCAGGACTAGACTCAGGAAGGAGTTTGCATGTCACCATCACACCTGCCCTGCAAGGAAAGTAATTATTACCTCCACTGTACAGATGAAGAAACTTGCTCAAGGCCGCAGCTAGCCCACTGAAAAGGGAGTCCAACCCAGATCTGTTCAGTGCAAAAAGTCATCCTCTTCCATTAGCGTACGGGGGAGGGTTGTAGGACTAAAACAAGTATCTTTACTGGTGCTCAAAATATGACATTTTGAATGCACTTTATACAAAATCTGAGAAACTCCATTGACTCAGAGCAGTGGGCTGGCTGACATGGCTTGGAAAAAGGAATGTTCCATGGAAGGTACTGCTAATTCTGCTCATAGGCCACGTTCAATCACCCAGAAACAAAAGTGCTGGAGGTTGGTCCTGTCTTTTATCCCGGTGGAAAGACATTTATTGTCATCAGCCAAACAATCTCCATCAGGATGTAACTATTTGCAGTTATATTTTTACTACCATTCATTTGCTTAGTGGCTTTCTGTCAAGGGGGAAGGGAATAGGTCAGAAGGAACTATTTCTGGGCTCTGACCTTTGGGAAAGCAGTCTTGTCCTATTTACATACCCTCTCTCTGATTTGCCCAACCTGATCACAAAAACATCATCCTCCAAGCCCAGGTAAATACTGGCAACCAAATAGTCTCCAATCAGTCAATGGCTATTGTGCAACCAAGGGGGCCCAGAACCCCACACTAAGCAACTGATAAGTGAAGAAGGAAAGAGCAGCCCAGCGTTCCTGACCCTGGGATGCTGGAGCAGAAGTGAATTCCCATCTGGGAGAGGAGGCCGAGAAGTGCAAGTTCTGAGACCCTCTCTGGCATGGCTCTTGGTCCAGTCATCCCTATTAGCACTTACCCAGTTACACCACCAGACTGTGGTGTCAGCACCAGGATGAACCCTAGTTCATCTCGAAAGGGCGAGAGAGGAAGAAGAAAGTTTCTCAATCAGCAAAGAATAGCTGCATAAATCAGTTCTCCTTGGGAAAATGAAACCAATGGGAAGAAGGGGCCTGTGTCTGGATCACTTTCTTCAAAAGGCTGCGTGTGAAAAGAATGATGCTGGGCAAAAGGCTGCAAGGAGAGGGAGGTAGGGAGGGAGAGGGACAGGGAGAGGGAGAGAATATGAGGAGCCCAGGTACTTCACAGAGCCTGGGAAGTAAATCAGTTGGATGGGAGCCTTCAGGTCACACAGCTGAATACGTCATTGCCTAGTGCTCAGAGGCCCAAAAGCCTGGGTCAGCCTGTCAAGAACTGGAATTTGTTCTAACCCTGGAGCCCCAGAATGATAACAACCAGCCATTTCAGAGACTCTAGTGGCAGAACCCCATCCTCGGCTCTCCTTTCCAGTGTTGTTTTTGTTTAATACGGTAAGGGAGGAAAAAATATCTGTGTACAGATCTGAAAATAGATAAACTGTGCTGCAGAATGGAGGCGAGAATTTGAGAAGTGACCCATACCCCCACCAACAGCTCTGCAATTGAGACAAAGCCTTCACCAACTAGGATTGGAACGGTGGGGTTCAAATAAAATAATTTATATGAACTTGCTGAGCCCAGCCTGTTCCCTTGGGACCAAATAAATACATTTGTTCATTCTTTCTCTGTGGTAGATATTGTCCATCATGTGTGCTGGGGCTTGGGGAGGGAGGTAGATATTGTCCTTGACGGTGTATGCAGGAAGGCCTCTGTATTGAACTTGTACTTTTTTGTAACTGCCCCACAAACTTCATCACCTCCACTCCTACCATCCTAGTCCAAAACCCTTCCTCCTAAATGGCCTTCCTGCTTTGACTCTCGCTGACTAGAGTTTACTCTTCACACAGCTGCTAGAGTGATCTTTTTTTAAACATAAATCATATCTTGTCACTTTCCTGTTTTAAACTCTTCAAACGCCAACCACACTTGAGTAGAATTTAAACATTTTCCCATGGGTCATGGGGCCCTAACATGACCTGCGCCCCGATGACTTCACCTCCTATCGCTCTCCCTGTGGACTACTAAGCCACAGCCACACTGACCTCTGTTTCTGAACTCACCAAGACTCTTCCGCCCTCAGGGCTTTTGTACTATCTGTTCCCTCTGCCTCGAATACCCTCTGTTCTCATTACCTGTGGTGCAGACCTTATCTGACCACTCACATTGAAATTAGCACCGCCCCCCAATCCACCATCACTCCATTTCATTTGCTTCATAGCAAATGGTAACGATACTAACTCAACCAGTCTTGCCTCTTGTTTATTTACTTGTTTATTGTCTGTTTTCTCCACAACAACACAGCCCCTGAAGGGGCACTGTGTCTGTCTGGTCTATCACTGAATCCCTAGTGCCAAGCAGAGACTGGCAATAGTAGATCTCTAATACTCGTTGGATAAACGATCTTTTCAAATTCTAACAACCTTGTGAGGTATGTGAGAAAACCCGAGTTGTCAAGCTGTCAGCTCAGGATTAGAGTCCTGGTCTGTCTGAACACAGACCTCGCCTTCCTTCCCAGGGTACCTCGCCCCTTTCAATTCCCCATCTCCCTCAACCTTTCTCACACACTCAGTCCCCCTCTCGAGGGAGGCCAGGCCAGGCTTCCAGTCCCTTCTCAGACCCTGGCGCCGGCCCTCAGAGTCCACCCGCATTTCGAGGGCTCACAGGCGCCGCCCCGTGCCCAAAATGAATCTGCTCGGTGCGCACAACCCCCTCCCTGGTCCCCCGGTCAGGGGCTGAGAAGGGCCCGGCACTGCCTACGGTAAAGTGGGAAGGGCCCCCTAGCTCATCGGTGGTAACGGTTCGGCGCCCTCACGCTGTCCCTCTTCCCCGGCTAGGGACCCCCGGGGCCTACTGGGGGCGGGCTGGAAGCTCCAGGCGTCAAGGGCAACGAGGACATCCAGGGCCGAGGTGGGGATGGGCGCCTTCGTGCAGCAGAACCTTTCTTCATCGGGCCTCGTTTGCCCGCCGGTCGGCTTTGGAAGAGACACTGCACTTAACTGTCCCCGCGCTACCCGCCCCGCCCGGCCCTGTATGCGGAGGCCCGCCTTCCTCCCGGCCCCGAGTCCGGGGTTTCTGCCGCCGGAGCGTTCCGCCTC